ACTTCCATTGTTTTCTAAATCACATGAAATGCTGCTAAGTTCTTAGGAACTTAGGAAGTTCTTCTCTTAAGAGACCCCACAACCTGAATGAAAGTCTCACCCATTTGGGAGCAGACAAATGTAATGCAACTCACACGGAGGTGTTTCTGATATGCTTGTGCTTCTGAAATCCTCAAGTTGTTGAGGATGAGATGTCTGCTGGAAGAAGGAGTCATGGCAAATGTAACTCTGCATTAATGGGATTAAATGAATCAGGCTTCAGGTCCGGTCAGTTTTTTTAAGAGGGGAAGAGATCAGCACCATGGACAGCTCCAGCAGCCCAGCAGCTGGTCACAGGTGTCTGTGCTGCTCCAACAAGGCTTAGGGCAGGACTGAGCCTGAGACATGGCCGAATTGGATGGCAGTGGCTGAGGTACACTAGTGTCCTCATGGCACAAGTCTTCAGATTTTGAGGATGGTAAAATGGATGCAGGGGAGATGTCCTCTGAGGTCTTTCTGGAGAAGTGGGCCTTGAGAAAGTGGAAGTCTGGTGAAGCTTTTTCCTGACTGAGTCGTATCAGAGAACCGTTAACTCCATTATGCCTCTTTAGAGGACAAGAGGGCAGGATCCCCTGAAGATTCAGTTTCAGGGTCCTGTTCTATGACACTTGGATGGGAGTTCCACACATGTGGGGCCACAGCTAAGAAGGCCCTGTCCCTCGTGCCCTTCAGTCTGACTGAGTATATGAGTCTGAATTGCTGCTGGTGATGAGAACAGATGTGGGCTAGATGGACTAATGGATCCATGTAAGGGCAGCTTCCTATAGACATCTGCTTGGGTGTTCAATTTTTCCCCACGTGCAAATTCAACTCTCATGAAGAGGGATGAAAATCTTTACTGTCCACAAGATTGCCTGCTCTAGGACATTTTGTTACAAGTCATACCAAAATTGGATGGTCATTTCTATTCCATATAATCCCAAGCACCATTGCAAATCTTTGCATGGAACATGCTGCCCGGCTTCTTATCTCCACATGACTCAACAAACCCAAATCACAGAGGACAACTCAAATATATGAGTGCGGGTTCTTTATTCAAAACAGCTGACAACATTCTCCTCCTGCTGCTCGCAACCTTATCCCCACAACAGCCCTGTGAGGTAGGTTGGGCCAAGAGCCTGTGACTGGTGCAAAGTCACCATTTTGGCTTTGTGGCCAAGTGGGAACTAGAATCCAGATCACGTGAGTCCCAATCCCACTGGATGTAGTTACATCGCGTTTCATGGTATACACAGACAGGTTGGTTTATCCACAAACTTCCTCACACTGCATCATTTGACCAATCCCTGCACTGCCCGTCTTCTGTTTTCATATTTACTAAGCCCTCAGATGTTTTTTCCATTGTCATGCGCTGCACCAGGGGCTTTGTAGTCACAAGTTAGTGTACAAATACAACCACTTCTGTAAAATCTCCGAGAATCACACCCCAAAGCTTTGGTCTGGCCCACCTCCTTTTCCAAATCTTATATTATGCACACAGGCTAAGTTATGAACTGATGCATAAAAGAGCTTGATGGGCAAAATTAATTCTGATTTCTGTGTAACCTACCCAAGGGTCTAAGCAATTAGTGGCTGAAATGATAGGCTTTCCTGCACCAGCATGGGGACTAGGAGCTTGCTTGCTGCTCATGAAATGTGACATAATGCAAGTTGGCTTCGAGGCCTCTTTGAGATGGGAGGCACGGTAAGAATTTTCTAAATAAATGAGTACACCTGAGGCTATACACAAACAGGCCATGCAGTTCAAAATGCGCAGAGCTATGCAGATTATACAAAAATGCCCAAGAAAGAAAGACATTTAAAGGGCAAGATACTTCAGTAGACCAAGACCAACTCAAATTTAAACCTTCAGAGATGAGCTTAGAGAGATTTAATTCTCTAGAAGCTGTGGATTGCAAGACTCGAGTCTTTTTGCAAATGCCAGTCCTATCCACACCCCGAGAGACCATGGTACACGTCTGTACACACAAGGAGAATGATGTGTCCTTTCATCTCCTGCCTCTTTTCTGCCACAAGCAAAGCAGGCTTCAGAGTGCCAAACTTGATTGCAGGGAAGAAGACATAATAACCATGCAACTCCTAGCTGACCTTGGTGATTCATTTAACTGTAGCCTGTATTCAGCAGCCCTATATGTGGCCGGAATGCTATGAGGCCTCTGGTGGGAAATGGCCTTGCATATTTTACTTGACACTCAAACCAGAGTAGCGGTGGTTACACCACTGGGGGCTAATGCTGTGTCATGGCAAAGCCACCAAATGGCTTGGAGTGGTTGGTGGAACAGAAGCCAAGACCCAACTAGAGATGGTTGAGGAATTCAAATTGGTGGAGAGTGGGGAGATGCAATAGATTTTTGTGATTTAGCCTGCTCGGTTTTGGATCACCAGCCCTGTGCTGGCATTGTGACGAGTGCCAAAGCACATGGGATTCCAAGCCAAAACTTGCACAAGGAAATTGGCGTAAATTCAGCAGATTGGCAAAAATTGACACTCTAAGCAGCACGTGGCCCTTGTTCAATTTGTGCAAATTGCACAATGACCACATGCTCTTGGGGAGTAGATTCGCATAAGGTGCAAAGTACTGTGATTTGTGTAGATGTGCACAAATTGTGCCAATACCATGATTTGTACGAATTTCCTTAGCAGTTTAAAAATGAACAAACTTCAGCCCATCTTAGGGATGGAGGTCTACAGAAGAAAACTTGACTCAGCTTTCTTCTGATCAGTGGAATCAAATCCAACAAGTTCAGAAGCATACAAAATGCGTTTTCTTTTTAAAGAAAGAAACATTCAAAGTTTTGTTATATTGGACATACGACTTGAGAAAATGTGCATATTAGGCAAAAGTGCATGCAAAATCAAGTTCTAGGAAAGAATGTGCACAATAACATTGTGAATTTTAATATGAACTTTTCAAAAAAATCTCAGAATTTGGGACTAACCAAACTTAAGACTGGTGAAATTCTCAAAATTCAACATAAATGGAGAAATGCTTGGAAATTTGAATGGCGATAAACCAGAATTGACAGATTCAGCTGTCTGTATGGAGATTCATGGCAGAATGCATATTTTGCATGCAAATATTTATTTATTTATTTATATTCCGATTTATACCCTGCCTTTTTCCTACAAAGGGCTCAAGGCAGCTTACATCTCCTCCTCCATCTTATCCCCACAACAACAGCCCTGTGAGGTAGGTTGGGCTGAGAGTCTGTGACTGGCCCAAAGTCACCCAGTGGGCTCCATGGCTGAGCGGGGACTGGAACCCAGATCGCCTGAGTCCCAGTCCCACGCTCTTCACCACTACACCACACTGGCTCTCCTGTTCCCTGATACCTCCATTTAAAGCAAACTTCTTCCATGGAGCGCCCTCCAGCTGTCTTAAATATGGTCCCAGACCATTGACTATGGGTATAGAAGCTGTAGTCAAAGCATCTGGATGGCACCAGATTGGATGGGCCACTTTAAAGGATTTTAAGTAGAGGTGCTGAGAGATAACTTTATCTGAAAATGAAGTAGAAAATCCTGCCCTGAGTCAATATAGCGGGAGCAAAGGTTTGCAACTTCAAAATCCACCGATGATTCAGGCAGGCCATAATTCAGTGGTGTGTGCTTTGCATCTAAAGGACTCAGGTCCCATTTCCAGTTGAAAAAATGCTTAGAGAACAGGTCTGGACTGGCAACAGCCCCTTCCTATGAACTTGGAAAATATATGTCAGTCAAAAGGGGAAAAGTGGCACAAGTTCTGACTTGATGCGATCTTTCATGTGTCTCAACCACATTGGCAGTTACCCGAGATGACATGTTTTAACCCTGCAGCATTTGGCTGGTTTTTCCCATCTCTTTGCTGTGCCTGAGAGGACACTGAAAGAAACCCAGGTGGAGATTTATGCTTTGATCTGGATTTCCTTTCACCCTCCTGAATTGCAAGTTTCCTCCCATTTGATGTGAGCTTATGTGGAAGGAGACTCATGAATGAGCTGCACACAATCTGCCATCAAAACTGGCACGCTTCTGAGCTTGTATTGCCATTTGCGGAAGGAAAGGTTTGTGTTTGAAAAATATGTACGTATGAAAAGAATGCACACAAGCATGCCTTAATCAAAGGGAGAAAATGCATACATTTTCCAAAGGTGCACCATTGTTGTGTACGTTTGGGGAAATGCACATAAATATATGTATGGATTTTCATTTGTACAAAATGGGGAAAAAACCTCATGATCTGATATGGATCTGAGACAAAACTATGTTCAAGATGGTATTTGGGAAACCTTGACAGGTTCAGGTTTTGCTGATTTGCACGTCTCTGGACCTCTTCTTGACAGGCTGGCTAAAACAGCAGAAAGCACCTGAATCAATTGATGTCAAGGCAACACAGAGCCACAGTCCTGGCGGCAGCAGATTTGGAAAGGGAGAGTCCTCCTCCTTCCATCTTCTATTTGCATGTGATTTGAAAAGCAAAAATGCTGAAAGGGAGGGTAACCATCCAGGACTGGGACTCGGGAGCAGCAGGGAGGCAAATTCAGGCAGTGATCCCATGGCCCCTGGACTGAATCTAAGGGGCCATAGGATTTTCAGATACCTAGGTGCAAGACAATGTTCTGATTTCAGAGCTGGGAATCAGAGCTCTCCTTGTAGCCAGGAGGGTCCTCCCTGCTCCTGGCTCTAGACTTGTGGAAACTACATTCTTGATCTTCAGGGTCAAGAAAGTGACTTCAGAGGGAGGGAAAAGGGAGTGTTTACCTCTCTGGCTTCCTTCCTTCCCTCTCTGAAATGCTGCAGATGGGTGCTAAACTGCCTTTCTAGCAAAAATGCACAATTTCCCACTGTGCATAGAATGACTATAGGGTTTCAGTTCCAAGGGCTTTGGAGCAGCCCTGTAGGATGGCACCCTTAACTTTGATTGTTTGCCCCAGGTATAAAAACACCATGGGCTCACTGATAGCTTGTTCTTTTCCTTGCAGGCGAGAGAACAAACTGCGGATCCAGAATGGCTGGTTGTGCCACTTAGCTCCAGAGATCATCCGGCAGCTTTCCCCTGACACAGAAGAAGACAAGCTGCCTTTCTCCAAACACTCTGATGTCTTTGCACTTGGGTAGGTTTCCTTTTCTGGGTGGGAATGGAGCAGATAAGTGAGTGTGCCTTTTGATATAGGCTCAGATGGCTTTTTTGAAGATGTTATGATCAAAAGCCTTGCCTTTTTCTGAGAGGTCTCTCCCACCTTGTGATGCTGGCAAAGAGATTAAAACCAGAGGGCCCCTTCCAATTTGTTGGTGATTGGCCTCAGCTTTCACCAAAGCAAGCTCCCTTCTTGAATGCCCTTTTGGACAGGTGCCTACAATCCACTTGGTAACCCTAATGAGATGCTCAACATCCTAGTCCACATTCTGAGCCAGGGAAGAGCTGCTTTGGGGAAATGATGCTCATCATATTGAACCTTTGAGCTTTGAACTTCTGCTGCATTGTCCATTCATTGGGAAGGGTGGTGTGGAAGAAATGGACTTGCTGCCCCTGGAAGACCCATAGGTCAGGGGGAGAGCAAATGGGCCTTCCAGATATTCCTGGACTTTGAGAATTAAGCCCTGCACATCTGGAAAGGTACCTTGCAAAGATGTGGGATTTGATTCTGACTCAGCCAGAGAGGAGGAGGTAGCTAAGACAGCGGAGCCTTTCAGCCCACGGCTGGTGGAGTTGGATAGAAATGTCCTTGTCCTGTGAGCCATTCTGAAACTGCGGGGCACAGAGGCAGGAGGAAGAGAAGATGGAGACGGGATGAGAGAAGAGTCCAGGGATTTGTGCCCTCAAGGTTCAGCATCAAATGAAGAGGGGGGAGCAACATTGGGCAGGACACTGGTCACAGCTCTTCCTTGCCCAAGAATTTTCCCAAGTTATCATGAGCAGCTCGAAAGGCAGGTGACAAAGTTTGCTCAACAGGCTGGTATCAACTTTCCACTGACTGCATGAAATTCTGAAGCTAGCTCTTCTCATTGCCCACACACCCCGACTCTTCTACCGTTATTGTTTTTAACATGATCTCCTGCAGAACTAGAAGTAAGATTGACCCAGTTGTACCTTGTATGAAGGACTCAGAGCCGTATCTTCAGTGAGAGGCAGAGCAGCTTCAGACAATCTCTGATCAGCCCCAGCCAGCATGGCCAATGGTCAAAAGTTATGAGATCATAAGCCACCACGATCTGGAGAAACAGGTTTCCACCCATGCCATGGGATGCTAGCAGCAACCCTGAGCCTGGCTTGAGAAAGGCTGGCATCTGGGTCCAATATGGACTAATCAGATTATTGGCCAGAAGTGAGAGGCATGGTTTGGATGGGCTGGACACCAGGTGGTCAGATACCAGATGAGGCAAGCAGCAACCAGAGGTCCAAGGCAGGAGATGCAGTGATGGACAGTCTGCAGGTCAGAGCCTTGAGCGGTGTGGAGAGAGGCATTGTTGCAACCCAGTAAAATGAGTTATTTAGACCACCTAAGCAGCATCCTCAGGCCACCAACCCGGAAGGAAGGCTTTTCTAGTGCTTGTGACCTCCCCATTGTGCTGCAAGGCAAGCTAAGCATCCTTCAGACTATTGTATAGTGTTTTGGCTACACAAATCCTGGGCTGACTCACTGCTCAAAGGCCAAGGACATTCGAGGAAGGAGAACTTAGCTGCTGCTGTCCGTGGCTGGCGAGCACTTTGAGCTCCTTACACAGGCTCAGTCTGGCGACCGCATGTGAATTGCTAAAAAAGGAAGACCTTGTTTTGCATAATATTTGCATATGTGCATCTTTAGCTATAGGTGCCAATTTAGAAATGATGTTTATAGTTTGAGATACAATGCAGTACCTCTCACCCTACTGTGGAAGATCATGAATGGGTGACTTGCATGCCTTCCCCAGTGTGCAGTCTGGGGTAGGTGGGGGTTTGAGGGGGGGGGCATGCCCCGTTTGCTCTTCCATATGAGTGTTTTGTATCATTAGACTGGACTTGGGCTGGATGGTCCTTCATGCAGAGGACAAGTAGGAAACAGTCTGCTATCAGCCCTTCAAACAGAGGCCTCTCCTCCATAAAAGGGGGCACATGGCCACCTCGCAGCTGGTGGATTATTGGCCTGTTATTTGGAAGCTGGAGTCACAGAAACTGTCAATCAGGCAGACCCCCCATATGGGGCCCCCAAATTTAGCTGCAGGACGGAGTGAGGGACAGACAGTTGAGTCCTACGCAGTGGGAGAATTCTCCTGGGCAAATCAACTTTGTAGAAAAAGGTTAGGAGCTACAGTGGAAGGCTCAGGGCTGATCTGTGACTGCTGTCTTCCCTGATGGTTTTTTTTTTCCAGTTGTCCAATTAATTGCTCAGCTCGTTAGAAAAGGATGAAAATGCAGCTCTTTTTGAAAAGTGGTCTCTGCCCTCTGATGATATCTTTTCTCAGACACACAGCTCACTATAGTTTGTATCAGACAGATTAATTTTTTTCCCGTACACCACTGTGAAGTGAACCTTGGAGTGATTAGCTTCTGCTGAGTTCTTATCTGATCATGTGTTTTCATGCCCCAAAACTGCAGCTATTAAACCTACTGCTTGCTTTAAGTATAACTTTAACCAAACGGGGGTGGCGGGAGAAAGTAATTAGGGGAATTTTTTTATCAGACTCACTCCAGGCAAACTTTATTAATTTGAAAGTTTGTGTTGAAAAATGCCAGCCATTAAAAAAAAAGTTGAACTGGCTGAGCTGTAAAATGGTTGTTCGCGCTATTTGCATACACGTCAGGCAGGGGTCTGATTCCATGTGGGCTTTGCACGGTACGTTGATTCTGCAGTGGCAGCAAACCAGCTCTCATCCAGCCTCCAGAATTCCCCCATCAAGTTGGTGGAGGTTTGTACTTCATGGACCGCAAGGGTCCCCAGTCAGGACTCTGGGACCAGGGAAGCGATGCCGTGTGGAAGAACACAACAAATGTGGGGAGCATTTCTTTTTGGCAGCACTTCTGCAATCTCAGGGTTGCAAGACCTATTTCAGAGTTTGGCACACTCTTCCTGTACCAAATTCTTCTATGGCTGTTGAACCAGATTCTGATTCGGAAGAGGAGCCAGAATCCACAGCTGACTCGCCAAGGCTAGAATCAGGGGTAGGCATGGTTGGACAAGTGCCAAGGGATCTTTCTCCAGCAGAGGTCCACCGGCCTGTGCCCCTTATTTCAAGAAGATGATAACAGCTAGAGGCGTATTAGGAGCGTTACGCCTGCATGCTTAACATAGTCCCACCCTGTTCACAACCCTGCATGTGAGCACAGGTGGAGGAACACACGTCCTTGAAGGGAAATTTGCACAAATGGAATGCAAGGACATGCTGGGGGGGGGGGTGTGTGCTGTGTTTGGAAAATTGTGGCAGACTCTTTGGAACAGAGAAATGTATTTTCTATGGAATATCTTGAGACATGCTTTGGAGAAAATAAACCTCCCATTTTTTCCTTTACCCTTTCATCTGCGTTCTAGTGGTTGCAACCATTCCCAATTAATTTGTTTGCCTCTGCAAATGTTTTCTGTCTACAGATCTAGGAGGAGTTATTCTCTCTCTCGCAGATAGCATGGAATGGAGAGTGCTTATTTTCTGTAAAGGGTTTGCCTGTAATAAGCATCAGTGGGAACGAAGCTGGAGAACACCATTGTTTCTTTTACTGAGAACATGTCTACCTATGTGACCCTGTTCTTGTACAAGGCAGCTTTTCTTCTTTACATAGTCCTTTTAATCTGCAAACAGCTTGAGAACAAAGCTGCTCTGTTTCAAGACAGTGCCATTCCCTCCCATGAATAGCCAACTCTGAGTGCCTATCCTTATGCAAGCAAAATGGCACCATCCACGCACGAAAGAGAAGTATCAATAGTCTTGCAGGAAGCCCAAGTCTGGATTAATTCAGCAAATGGGAGTGGGGGGAATGCCCCCAAACAGGCCGTGGATGGATGCTTCCTGGCTGCTGCATGGGATGGAAGACCAAGAGTCAATGGAAGGGACCACTGGCCAGGTGGGGCTGCATTTTGCCGCATTTTGCACAAGGTGGTGGTGGACGCAGCTGCCGACATGTGGATGAGTGACAAAAGACGATAAAAGGGAAGGTTTCGGATCGGGGTGGCAGCAATCAAGAGCTGGGTGCTTTGGAGAGCCCGTCTGATGCGTGATACACACATACAAGCACACACACAGAGCCCTGTCTGTCTATGCCCCATCATGGGCTGCAGCAACACTAAGCACTATATGCAGGAGTGTTTTGGATCCATGCTCAGCCTGGTGCTACCCCACCATCCCAGCTCTCCCCTGCCTGGCCCACGGTCGGGCTTGCTCTTCTTCCTGGATGCGACTCCCTCTGCCTTGAGATCCCCCACAGAGGCTCTTCTGAGGACGCCTGCTCCATCTGATGTGCGGGTGGCAGCCATGAGAGGGAGGGTCTTTTTGGTGGTAGCCCCTTGTGTATGGGATGTTTGCTCTGCAGAGGCCTAGGAGGCGCCTGCAGTGACACCTCTTCAGCCCCAGACAAATGCCTTTTTGTGCACCCAGCTCCTCTGGCATTTTCTAGCATTTTCAGTGTCAGTTATCTAAGTTGGAATGTGAATGTGACCGGGGATGATCCTTTCAGCTTCTGCTCTACTCTCTTTCCCCACTTGTGGGATCATTTTCGTCCTTCCTCTGTGTTTGCAGCACTGGCATTGCTTTTGAGTCACCAGATCCTGGACTGACTCCTCTGCTGTGCTTTATCATCGTCATTCTCAGTTTTAACACTGACTAAAGGATGAGGTTAAGCGAGGGTGAATAAACCCCAAATTGAATCAAATGGGGGGAAAACCAGCTGCTGTTGCCCCATGTTGGAGGTTTTTTCCGAGGTCGAAAAGAAACGGGGCACCCCTTTCCACGCTTGTGTTTCCACTTTGTCTCCACAGCACCATCTGGTACGAACTGCACGCCCGCGAGTGGCCATTCAAGACCCAACCGGCCGAGGCAATAATTTGGCAAGTGGGTCATGGGATGAAGCCGAACCTCAGTCAGCTTGGCATGGGGAAGGAGATTTCAGTAGGTGGCTTTCGGCTGCAGGGATCAGGGCAAGGGGAGAGAAGGGAGGCGGAGAAAGGGTGGGGAACTGCCATGCCAGCACCCCTCCGTGTCCCGGGAACAGTTTTTAAGATGTGGAACGGTGGCGAGCATGTTGGATTCTAACTGGCATACCATGGGTTAAAATCCTTTCTCTGTAGCAAAGGTTGCTGGGTGACCTTGGGCCAGTGACTACCTCACAGGGTTGTTGTTTTCAGGACAGGAGGTTGCAGCATCTTCTGCTAATTATACAAGATCACCGCTGCTGGCAGTGTGCATCTTACTTTAAGGTGCCCCAAAAGCAAAAGCTGATCCCTGACACAAGGTGGATGTGATCTAAATCCCCCTCTAAAGGAAGAGGGGGAGAGTAAGAGAGACCTGTAGGGAGGGGATTCCACACTTTCCCCTGATTCTCCTGGGTCTGATTCTTCCCAGATAGAAAGGAGAAGCAAATGCAGTCTCTTAAAAATGTCCCATCTGCAATTCCAAAGACAAATAGGAATTAGAGTCTCTGACGTTGCTCACAAACCCCCAAACTTGCATTTGCAAAATGTATACTTCAAAAACGCACAACTTGCTCAAAATGCACACATTTTAAACTACCCCCATTGTCGTCTATGGGGAAAATTTGTGAAAGTGTGGACGTGTGCACAGATTTGAGAATTTTTACTCAGCTTTGGCATTTGATAGCTATTCCTTTTGCACAGTTTTCCCGTGCATGCAAAATGAACAGTGTTCACAAATTTGAGAACAAACTAAGGAGAGAAGAGGAATGGATTGATATTTGGAGAATCTTAGCCAAGTTATGGTATCACTTATTTGCCTTTTTCTGGAAATATCAATGCTTATTCAAAGGACAAGCTAGTTTCTTTTAGAACCTGGTGTACATATGTATGTAAAATATTCTTATCCCTTTGTTCTGTCCAAAAGGCTACCTCAGTGGCCTGCATAAAATCAGTAAACATAAGACCAGAGGCTTATAAATTAAAAGACATGACACAAAAGGAGAAAAGGGAGCAAGAAGGATGGTAAATGCAAACTCAGACACCAATTACCAAAGTTAAATATTGATCATATACTGAGCGACAGGTAAAAGTTAAAGAGAAGGAGTTTGATGAAGTTGGTCTTTCTTGAAAGCTGGTAGGAGAGCCCTGTTTCTCATGTATGTTTCTCCCTGCCTGGCTTTTTCTTTCTTTGCAGGACATTCTTCACTTTTGCTGGGCCTATGAGCAGGAGGAGCGTCCGACCTTCACCAAGCTCATGGAGATGTTAGAGAAACTGCCAAAGCGGAATCGTCGCCTTTCGCACCCCGGCCATTTCTGGAAGTCAGCAGAGTAAGATGTGTGCCCTCGTCTCCCAGAACTTTTGCATTTGTGGCAGAGGCTAAAATAATAATGTGCATGGAGATTCAGAGAACACACAGAGAGGGCCCTTCTGATCCACAAACCAGGTGTGAAGGGGAGGTTGCGTTCCTCACCTGCTCCTATGAGGGCTGCACCAGCTGGCTCTCTTGCATGCACACAGGTTTGCAGGGGAGGCAGAATGTGAGAGGCACAAACACTAGGTTTTGCCTCCTGGGTCCTCAGTGCACCCATGAATCCCTTTCTCCACCGCCACCACATTCTTCCTTGGCTTACTCTACCCTGCCATCATTAATCTATGCCCAGATCCACTCTCCAAAATCCATGCTTCTTTCCATGTGTGGTAGCAGCAGAGCTGTAGTGGAACCAGGGCTCGCAGGGTCAAAGCACTGAGACTTTTTAATCAGCAGGGTTGGTGACATCAGCTGCCACCTCAGTTGGATTTCCTTGCTCCATTGAACTTAGCTACAATCTTCATGTAGCTTTGGGGGAGAGATTTTCCCAGTATTCCCTGTTGTAATACTAAGCATTTGGGGATGCTGCTTGGTCTTGAATGGGAACTTATTTGCTAGGAAGGCAGGCAGGCCAGCCTTCCCTTGGTGGGGAAGAAAATAGCTGGAAATGATCAATACATTGGCATGTAATTTTGGGCTCCCCCAGGGTTCATGGTTATGGGGAATTTCAGATCAGTATCTGCATTTCAAAATATTGCAATACAAGCTGGTCAGTGGGTCAGCGCAGGAGCATTCAGGGCTTCTTAAAGAAAACCCAAAGGTCAGACCTTAAACCACAGGAATCAGTGAAACGATGCACAGAAAAATCACGATGTGGTATTTATCAGCTATATCTCCATTATATGACTGTTGGTTTTCCTTTTCTCTAGAAAATTCAGCAACATTTTAAAAACACTATAAAGAAAGACTGAATCTTTCAAGCCCACCCAAAAGTATATTTCCTGCCCCAGAACTTCAGTCCTTAATCAGAGAAATATAAGAGCTGTCTGCAATCAGTCAGTGGCAAAAGAAATATGATTTATTACAAGTTAATTTAATTAAAAGATGTCTGTCCCATCTTTCTGACAATGGTCATTCTCAAAGGCCGCTTACCTTGGTATCTGGATTGTTAATATAATAACAGGTGAATGTCACAAATAATTCCATAATGATTAGTGATAGGAAAGTAGCAGACATGCTAAAATCAGATTGGCTTAGAATACCGGGAGCGAGCTCCTTATTAAAATCTGCCCTGGCGATGAATTCCAGGGGTCATGAGGCTCACTTTGTATTTGAAGAGCGGTTGATGCCCCCACTCAGACTCCCCTATATTCATGAGTTCCCCTCAAAGGCTTGGGAGGATGCAACCGGTTTCACTGGCCTAAAAGTAAATAAGGTTAAGTCCTGGACTAGTCATGCCACGATTCTCCTGGAACTCGGCTTTCTTGCATCCAGTCTGGGAATTGGATTCTTTCCCACACTTGGCCCTGGCCTGGGAAGCTGAGCCGAGATCAAGGCCTGCAAGTCACATATGTGGAAGCCACAGGTGGGCCCGCAGCCAGGTGGCAGGTGCACAAGCTGGCCTCACTGGTTATACCTGTACAACAGTTGGACTCGCTTCCTGCCAGATGCCCAAATGAACACTCAGCATGGGTCAGGCTTAGACATAGAGAAAGCAGGCTAAAACTCAGGGAGCAGAACTGAGAAGATCCAGTGGGTTCCCATCACAAACCAGATCCCCTACACATTGCTATGCTAGGTCAACCTGTTTGGGGAAAGCGATCTACAATTGCAGTCCCATGACAACTGGAAATGCACTTTACACATGCTCCCTCACTCTTTCCTCTAACTGTGTTTGTGTTCTGCAGCTGAGTGAGGCTTCCTGAATATGTTCCAGGGCAGAGATTTGGCTCCAATTAGACCATGGGTGTTGGCACGCACATGAATTTAGGTCAAGGGCTAAGTGCTCAGCAGAGTCAACCAACAATAAAACATCTCCCTTTGGAAATACTAACTGGGGCTGGCCAATGCCTGCCTCCAATGCTATTTTCCTGCTCTGATTCTTTCCAGATCTCCCTAGGGTATATATTTCAGGCTGTCCCCAACACACCATCTCCCTGTTGCTAAGCCAGCTGTCTGCCTAGAGCTGGAGTGAACATTGCAAGCCGTTTCAGGTTGTTTTGGTGTTTAGCACTAGGCAAAGATTTTCAGGAAGGGGAGGGAATAGGAAAAGAGGGCTGGGAGCTTCAAGCAGGACCCAAACCTATTAAAATTAAACCTATTAAAATTAACCCCCCCAAAAGTTCTCAACCTCAATTATTTGCTTGCATAAAGTGTTAGGCTAACAAAACTGGCCACAAATTCTTCAAAAGACCTAATTAGTTATCTTTTCATTTGTTTTATGTCTAGGCCCCCTAACTGGAGCTCTCTGGACAGTTTATAAGACTGAAAGCTGTAAAATATAACAGGGAAAGATAAAGCATTGACATGTTTAAAATGGAATAAAACCGGTGTGAAACAAAAGCCATAGACCAAACAAACTCCAGCAACAGTGCAAGGATCTTAAAACTGGATTTTTTAAACATGGAAGATTAAAACCAATCCATCCAATCTCAGGGGTGTTCTCCTTACCCTGCTTTGCAAAACAATTTCTGTTAGGGCTGTATTCCTATACATTGCATCCTCAATTATCATAACCCCATGAACTCTCCTAGGAGCATCCTGCACAGGCCAGACAGAGTACTGGAGTGGAACCCACCTCCCTGAATTTTTGCTAGATAGGCTACTGGCAGGAAGGAAGGGAGGCTGGAGAGACCCCAGAATAGCTCATATTCTGGCCACACTTGTCTCTTCCCCTCCCCTTCCCATGCACCAAAATATCTCTTTCTCCCCTCCTCCAAAGACCAGTTCCTGCCTCGGAGTAAATGTCACTGTTTGTTTCCTTTCTGATTGGCCACTGAAGGTGTCCCCTGTTGCTCCGAGGGGATGGCCCTCAACACCCACAATGGTTCTCCTCTGCTGGACAAGGGGGCTGAGAGAAGTTGAGGGCTTTCAGTGGGGCGTTATTTCCGATTTGCCCACATGGCTGAGGGCCGGTTTGCTAAACTGAAAGCCCGTCTTGCCCAAACTACAAGCAAAGGGCACCTTCTCCAGCTGCTTTCCCGGAAACAAGTAGAAAGACTCCAGAAACTGATTCCTGTAGCAGTGGTGTCATGGCCCCAGGGCTCACCGGAAGGCAGTAGGGATGCTTTTCCACCCGCTGGGCTGCTGAGGTCATAGGCCACTACTACTGTTCTATGTTGCTACCCCTTCTGGTCTTAACTGCTCAGTAGCCAGAGGAGAGTGGATTTCCCTAACCACAAAACCCTGTTCCCTGTTGTCCTGCAAAGTATCCTAGTGTGGCTTGGTCTTGAATGGACAGTGAGGATTACTAAGCTTCTGGCAGACAGGAAAGCCACTAGAACTGGAGTGTTTATATGGATCAAGCTGAATGTGTGAATTCTCCTTGGGGAAATGACTATGGGGACAGTCATGATGAGTGCAAACACAGGGAACTAGGGGGTTCATCTACGGTATGAAGAACATTAGAGAGATGTCCCTTTTAAAAGCCATCAAATCTACCAATTAGAATTTCGTCCTTCCTTCCTCCCTCCCTCCCTCCCTCCCTCCCTCCCTCCCTTCCTTCCAAGGCAGTACTAAAGCCAAACTGTGCAGCCTGGGTCCCTATAGATGTTTTGGACTACAGTTCCCTAGGTGGCTTGGCCAGTGCTTAGAAATCATGCTGGAGTTGGGGGTGACCTGGTTGTCCATGCCTGGAATAAAGTGAGAAGGGAGGTATGGATGAACTTTACCCCAAGCCTTCCCCACAAAAGGAACCAAGTTTGCCTTCATTTTTCAGCCCTCTCATTTTTGCTTCTTCCAGGCTGTGACAGATGACTCAGAGGGATGGTGCCTTCCTTCAGCTTTCTTCCTCCCCACACACCCTCCTCTCTCCTCCTCCTCTCCCTGCTCCATGGAGGGCTGGAGGGGTGCAGCAAAGAGATACGACAACCTCTGGAAAGGGTGCAACGCCTGGGTCACAAGAGGAGAGCCACGCTCCAGCTTGGAGACGGGGATGGCTCAGAAGCTCGGGGGGCGACCAGGCTGGAGACGTTCTCAGTGAAGACTGGGCGGTCCTGCAACTGAGCTCCTCCATGTCCCTCTTCCCACATGGAAGACCTGTGGGCAGCAGCTGTCCTTGGCCCCCTTCTCCTGGATTCCTACATGACCAAGAGCAATGAGGAGCTTCTTCTCGGCCAGCGTTTCCTAGAAGCCTGTGAGCAGCCCCATTGGAAGCTGGTGTGGGTTTTATTTTCTTTCATTTTGGGTTGTCTCATGTGTTTACTTCGGTCCTTGGAAGATGCTGCACCAGCTTCTCCTGCCTAGAGGTGAGGAGGAGCGTTCAGGTGAGGTTCAGCTATGGAGACACAGAGGCGGAAAGTAGACAGAACTCTTGAGCTTTAACAGCTGCACGGGAGCCCTGTCCCTGTTTAGTTAGTTACTTCATCAGGTCACCAGGTGAGTTGTGATCTCTTGAAGAAGATTCCTAATCTGAGCACCTGAGAATTCCAAAGGGGTTAATGCATCCCTCTCACCGCCATCAGCCCAGCTGCTTTGTCCTTTTGGTGCCTGGCTTTTCTTGCTTTCCAGCCTTCCTTGCTTTCGCTGTTGCTTCTTTTCTCTGCATTTCTACATGTCATGCACAACACCAGGCAGTGCTCCCAGTCACACGACACCACAAGCACCCTGCCTGGTTTCCATGGAGCATGGTTTTTTGCCTGGATGTGTTTGGAGAGATGATTGGGTGGATTCTGTGCCAGCATGGTTTCCACTTCCTTGCTCAATCCTCTCACTGTTGGTACATATCCTATCAGCCACTGTGCCTGGAATTCAATCCCAAAGTGAGCCTCTCCCTGCCTACATTGCCTCACTGGTTTGCACAGAG